AAAATAAAAAATAATATCAGTATTTCTGTAGCCCTGAGAGTAATAGATAAAAAAGATTACTGGCTTATTAAAAAAAAAAAAAATCTGACTTCATGTAACACACTCTTCCAATCACACACAGCTCTCGTGTGATTATTTTTTAATAGTCACTGTGAAAGTAAGTATTAAGCATGAACAATGGACATGGACAACAAAGCTGGGGACAGGGCGGGGAGGGGGGAATCAGTGGGGGGAAAAAAGGAGAAACATCTGTAACAAAAATGAATTAATTAAAAATAATAAAAATTAAAATTAAAAATAATGTTTAAAAAAAGAAAATAAGTATTAAATAACTATCAGGCTTTGCCACCTGATCTCTGGCATAAAAAAAAAAAAAAAAAAAGTTTCCTATTGATTAACAACTGCAGTGAAGAATTTAACCAAAGACAGAACTTGGTTAACTTCAAAGTAGAGACCAGATTTAGTAATGGAGAATAAAGCCCTTCTTTGTTGCGTTATGGCCCACAAGTTAATCCAAAGAGCTCTGGTGGGCTTAGCTGCAGATAGGAAAAGGAATCTAAGTAGAGTTTGAAGAACATTTTTATGTAGGCAGGCCAGGTCATGCTTATCTAAGGATTCTCTAATTGAACGCCATGAAGTGATACACATACCACAAACCGCAACAGCAAGAATTAAAATGACAAAATGAAGCAAAACAAAAAACAAGATAATTTGGGATTGGGGATGAGGAGAATAAAACTTAACTGAACAAAACTCAGGGCATGACTTACCTAAAATCAAACCACACAATTGCATCCTAGCCAATTGGAACCTGGTATATTATCAATTTTTGTCTACTTGGAATAGCTTGTTTGTGAGACTGGTCAGAATATGTTTGAAACCAAATATTCATTTAATGGAAGTGCTAATGATCAGCAATTAAATTACTTGCAACTTTGAAGCATATTAGTCATAATTGTCTAAAATAATTTTCCCTCAAAAACACCCTAATAATGTTTAAAAATTCATGAGGCATTACCTGTTTGCTCACCTTATAATCAGTTTCACAGTCTCACACCTTATCAACAACCCAACACCAACACTATAGCAACAATGCAAGATAAAGACAAAATTTGGTGATAATCAGATTGATTCAATTCCTACAGGTCTTGAACCACTTCATACAGCACCATAAAGTTATTTTTTGAAATCTGCTTTATCAATCAATAAGAGCAAAGATACAAAGGCGATCTAAGAAGTGATGTTTCTTCCAAGGAGTTGACAATCTGAGGAAGAAAAACTCATTATGGTAGAATTCAGAAAATAATTCAAATGCTAAATAGTCAGTCTCCAAATACAAGAGAAGTTCCATTGAATGTGGTTAATAAAGACTGAGGGTCTAAGTGAACTTTAGAAGACAAGGATTTGCCCGGCCTGTGTGGCTCAGTGGTGGAACATCGACCCATGTACCAAGAGGTCACCGGTTCAATTTCCCAAGTCAGGGCACAGGCCCAGATTGTGGGCCAACCCCCCAGTGGGGGGCATGCTGGAGGAAGCCAATCAGTGTTCTCTCTCATCGATGTTTCTATCTCTCTCCCTCTCCCTTCCTTTCTCTCTAAAAATAAATAAAGGAAAAAAAAATTTTATAAAAAAAGACAAGGATTTAAAGAGGTAGTTGGCAAAAAGGAGAAAGGGTAGCCTACAAAAAAGAGGGAAAGTGAACTGGAAACATTTGTGCTCTGTAACCAGGGTAAAGTGGTATTTTTAAGTTTTAGGAAGCTGAATACAATTAATTTCTGGGAACCAAAGAAAGAGTGGAGGTTTCCATTCACAAGAAAATGTCTTAATTCATACAATTATCAATTACTACTGAATAGTGATACACCCAATGTTTTATTGTACATATGGAGTTGTTGCTTCAAAAAATCCTATAGCTGCCTGGTGGGTGTGGCTCAGTGGATTGAGCATCGTCCCATGGACTGATTCCTAGTCATGGTACATACATGCCTGGGTTTAGGGTTCGGTCCCCAGTGGGGGCGTGTGCAGGAGGCAGCCGATAGATGTTTCTCTCTCACATCGATGTTTCTTTTCCTTCCTCTCTAAAATATCAATAAAAACATGTTTTAAAAATCCTAGAGCCTATTTCAATTGCTAGAAATAAACTTAAAAGCCAAAAAAAATTATCAAGTTTTTCCCCCAGTGAGAAATTCTGGCTAGGGAATGGTTTGTATCATCTTCTCGTGCTAGATACATGAATGACAGGGGAGAATGAGGACTCAAAATGAGGCTGGAGAAACTTATGCCACATTACATAACAAGTTATCACTTTAGGTCCAACAACATCAGAGATTTTCCCATTTATTGAAAATATATTAGTGATACTACCAAAATTCTTTCCTTCGCTTTTCTAAAAATAGTTTTTATTCTATATGCTTTAGAATTATAGAACTACTGCAGATAAAACGGAATTCCTCCCCGTTCTCTAATATAGTTTACATTAGTATGATACATTTGTCACAATCAATGAACCAATATTAAAACATTAAATTCCAGCCCTGGCCGGTTTTGCTCAGTGGTTAGAGCATCGGCCTGAGGTCCAGAGAGACCTGGGTTCGGTTTCCGCTAAGGGCACGTATCTTGGTTGTAGTTTGTCCCCAGCCCTGCTTGGGTCGTGTGGGTGGCAACCACTCGATGTGTCGCTTTCACGTCGATGTTTCTCTCTCTCTCTCCTTCCCACTCTATCTGAACAAAATATCGAAAAATGTCGAGTGAGGCTAAAAAATAAAACATTAAATTCCATACTTTATCCAGATTTCCTGTTTTTTCCCTAAAGTCTCATTTATGTTCCAGAATCCCATTAGTTTATGTTACATATAGTTGTCATGTTTCCTTAGGTTTTCTCTTGCCTCGCAGTTTCTCAGATTTCCCTTGTTTTTCACACTGACAATTTTGAGTACTGGGTAGGTTTTTGTTTTTGTTTTTTAAAGAGAGAGAGAGAAACATTGACTGGTCACCTCCCACATGCACCCCATCAGAGGATCGAACCTGAAACCCAGATGTGCCCTGACCAGAAATCCAACCTGCGACCTTTAGCGCATGGGGCAACACTCCAACGAACCAAGCCACACGGGCCAGGGACTGGGTAGGGTCTTCTGTAGATGTCCCTCAACTGGGATTTGTCTGATGTGTTTCCCATGATTCGACAGAGGTTACATGTTTTTAGGAGGAAGACTACAAAGTTCCATTTTCATCACATCACATCAAGAGTACTAACCAGAGGGAAAAAATATCAGCATTCATGAATTATGCCTCCCTTTATACCTGTAACTATATTTTTAAAAGAAATTCTTCTTTTGTCCTAAAGAAAGGTAGATATTGGTTCAATGTGGAAACTGATTTTTTATCAACTGCCCTGATAAATAGACCCTTTAAACAGTTTTGGAAATGAATTTGCTATGTTTTGCTATTGTAGGTGGAGAAGGAAGGCACAACATGAATCTTTTAGGCACTTTTTATTTTCCAAAAAAAAAATTGTCATTAATATATAAACATTTCATTCTCTCAAAAAAATTCTACAACTATACAGCTGTTTGCTCCATTATTTGCATAGGAAATGACCACAATACAAAAATAAGAGGGAAAAAGAAGCAAAACAGCAACTGATTTTTAGCTTTTTATGTAGGTATGTTTCCACGTATAAACATTTTGAAGCCTCTTACAAAATATTTACACCACTTGTCATCTATTTACACATTTTAAGAGCAACTTGTCTAACAAACAAAACTATAATTTATCAAGTTATGAAAATTTTCTAAAAAAACTTACTATATTACCACAAAATAAATAAAGATAAACAATATTTTAAAAACAAAATTAAAATTTCATTTCAATTAAGACCCCTTTTGGCATTTTGCTTATGTATTCTGCCCTTTGGTTATAGCATCAGCATCACATTGCTATTTTATATTGCATATATGTAGCATTTGCTTCCTTAAGTTTTCAACATGTCATTTGGAATTAAAGGTAGACATTGAGTCAGTATGAACAATACATTAACTAAACTGCACTGTAATTTAGGTAAAATTACTGTGTCACTGTATATTACATGCAAAATCCACATCAACTGGCATTTAACCAACAGTCCTGCACGAGCAAATAATCTCAGTATATGAAAACTGCATTATAAATTCAACATTGTCATGTGAAAACTACCAAGTCCTTCTTAAAAATGATACTGTTTAGCTTATTTTAAGAGGTTTAATTTTTATATATTGTAACTATCTTTAAGCTCTTGAGTTCGCAATTCATATAAAAATGTCTTTCATATTTAAAATAAACAGTCCTATCTTAATCAGTGCATTAAATCTGCTTTTTAAGTTCATTTGAATGATTATCATTTCCTTCCCCACAAGAATGAATTTGGTAAGGTTTTAAGAGGTATCTTACCACAAATTCTAACTGTAAATGTATTCATGGTTATTTTCAAATTACTTATGATTTCTCCCCAAAAGAATCTTAGAAAACTTGTAATAAACCTATAAAGCTGATTTGCATATTTACAAAATTTTGAATAGCAAATATAGGCAACTCATAAAAAAAAACAAAAAAACAAAATAAACACTTATTTGTTCAATGGCTATTTGTGAATTGCCAGGTACACTGCGCACCTCTAAGGAATCATTCTATTGTTGAAAAACTACTTGATGTCAAGTAAAATCTTGACATACAATCCAACTTTCTTCCTGTGCCTGCCAACTGGCTTGTTTACTAAACACTGTCACATTAAGTGATGGTGCGTAGGTGGAACACCGCAGACAGACCCTTCGCCCTCACTCCCACCCCTGCCCACGCTGAGATGTGGTTGTGTGTCATGAGATGAGATCTGCTTGAGAAAAGCCCTATGCATTACAGCAAGCATTCCAGATTCTTAAAAGGACCAAACACTTTGGTATTAATACAACGTACTCCCTGTTTTCTCAAATATACAAAATATACATTTCCAGTTTTTTGTTGTTTTTTTTTTCTTTTTATATATATATAGTTACGTTTGTCATTTAAAACTTTGCCCCGAAGTGCAGACCGAGTGCGAGCCGCGGGCCGGCTCAGTTCTGGTGCCTCTTCATGTGCAGGGCCAGGTGGTCGGAGCGGGAGAAGCTGCGGTTGCACACGGCGCACTGGAACGGCTTGGCCCCGGTGTGCTTGCGGTAGTGGCGCGTCAGCTCGTCCGAGCGCGCGAACCTCCAGTCGCAGCCGGCCCAGCTGCACTTGTACGGCTTCTCGCCTGCGACAGTGAAGGAAGGGAAGAGTGAGGTGCCGTCAGTCAGACCCACATCGTAAATACTGCCTGAGACGAAACTTATTTTTAAGTCGTGGTCCAAGAGAAGGCAAGTTCATGAATTTTGTTATGGGCGAATTTCCCTCAGTCATCTAGTGAATGGAGTCACCCTCCTAGAACGCTGAAGGATGAAAAATTTCCGTTTTAAATGTACAAGATGAATCGTTGCTCCTGTATGTATAAACCCATAAAATGGCTAGGGAGCTGGGGTGGCTCTATCATGACTGTGGGAATACAATGTCTACACCAACAACCGCAAATTAATTGTGTGAGATCGACGGCTACAGAATGAACAAGAAAGGGAAAAAATTAAGGGAGGTACTGATGAGGGAGCTTCTCAGTTCACCAATACAATATATTTAAGGTCCCAAATTGGAATCCTTTACTTTATAAATTGGTCCTAGATGTTTCTAAATAAGCCAGACTGCTGGCTCATACAACAGTTCCCCTTGAACATACAGCCTCCAAAATGGAGTAACAGGCTCTTTGAAATTCACACCAGCCCATACACATTCAAGCAGAACAAAGAAAATTTTCAAGTTCAATGGTGTTAAAGCTCTATGCATTTGATATTTAATAAGTTCCTCAACCAGATCAGATAGTCTGGTACTGATAATTTCACTTTGGTAAAGAGCCATGATACATTTGCTTATTCGTGCATTCTTTTTTTTTGTAAAACACTGCCCATTTTTAGAAATGATTTGCCAAGTTTGTACTGTATGCTGGGCACTGCCCTGAACTCTTGGAATACAACAATCAGCAAGAGAAAAATGCCTGGCCTCATAGAGCTTACATGTGTAATATATGCTTTAAAAGTCCTTAATCAGCCCGGCCGGTGTGGCTCAGTGGTTGAGCATTGACCATGCACCAAGAGGTCACTGGTTCCATTCCCGGTCAGGGAACATGCCCAGGTTGTGAGCCCAATCCCCAATGGGGGGCATGCAGGAGGCGACAAATCAATGTTCTCTCTCATGGATGTTTCTCTCTCTTTCTCCCTTCCTCCCTCTCTTAAAAAAAAAAAAAAAAAAAGTCTCTAACCATTCAATCTACCTGTTCTTTTAGGGCGCTTTTTATTTTAATAGTGAACTGATAACTGAGCGGCTGCCCCACCGCAATGCCCCACCGCATTTTGTATTACTCTTAATGTTGTCTAAAGTTTGCCAATCTTTTAAAACTACTTAATATTTATAATGCAGTCTTAACTCCCAGCTTTAGAATCAATTAATCCTATTTGAGATCATGTAGTCCCCCCACTAAGTAAAACCCAAAACTTAAAAATCTCTCACTGAGCATTAACTAATAGTTCCTATATGTATGCTTTATTGTTATAATTTTCTATGAATGTTAGTTTAAGATGAGAGTTTGTGAGATACATTTGCATATTAAAGTACTGCTGGTTTACAGGTGAGGTTTTTTTAAAAATAATTTTTTCTTCATTGATTTTAGAGAGGAAGGTAGAGGGAGAGAGAACATCGACTGGCCGCCTTCCACACACACCTGCCCCATCCCCTGCCCACAGGGTAATTTGGCCCATGACATGGGCATGTGCCCTAACTGGGAATCAAACTGGCGACACCTTTTAAAACTCTGAATAGCCAAGCTCTGAAATTTCTTTTAAACTGTTTTCTTTTCTAAAGGAGAAAAACCTGAGTTGCCTTAAACATCTGTCACCATGAAACTCAACAACCTTTCTGCCTGATTTAGTAGTATCACATTCAGGAAGTTGTAAGATTACTCAACTGTGTCCAGATTTTAATAGACACACCGCATCAACTGAGATTTCTACAACTTGTGTTTAATATAGTTTTGCTGTTCTGATAACTAGTCTGACTTTCAAACAAAATTCCGTAAGGACAAAGAAGAAAGGGCCAGAATGGCTCTGGAAATGTGCACCAATTATTCCCCATGAGATCTCTGTCAGCTCCTTATGGTATGCACCCGTGAGCCCTTTACTGGGTCTCCTCTCCTCTGGTGCTGACCAAGACACAATTATTTTTAAAATTCCCTTTTTGGTTCCTATCACTCTGTTTGTAAAATAGACATCACAATTCCTGAACTGTTTTGTCTTCTCATAGTAAATTCTAAGATGTTAAATTAATACTCTCAAACCTTTTAAGTAATAAACTACTTTTTCTTTCACTTATATTCACATCTAATATGTTTAATACACAGATATGTTTTAGTACCAGCAGTAAAGGGAGCTATCACTCTTGTAGATGTAAATCAAATGGAAAAAATAAACTTTTTTGCACACAAACATTTGTGTTTGTTCCTTGTGAAAAAATAAATTCACAAAAACAAACATGGTGGTTAAACACTTTGCTGTCATTTAATGGAAAGTTATTTCTGATGTCTGAGAGCAAGAAAAAATATTCCTGAAGTGCTCCAATTTTAAAAATCATTTCTAGTCTTTTGAAATGAATAATTAAATAGCAAGAAAACTGAATTTTCAGAGTTTAAGAAACAAGGGACACTAGACTCTGTTCACTGTTTTTAGTGGCTATAAAGCAATAAACTGCACCAATATTTTTTAAGTTTACTGGTTGGTTGAAAACCAGTAGCCATTAAAGTTCCTAAAACATTTTGGCTTTTGCTCCCAATTTATGCACATCTATAGCTTGATTCAGCCAAGAATACTTCTTGTGTCTGGGACATTAGTTACGGGACCAAATCTTTACTATAAAAGCAAGGACAACAGTTCCCCACTTGGGGCAATTTCTATGGGATTTGTTCAAGTGTCAACACTGCTCAAGTAAAACATTGTAGAGGAAGCTAGTACCCAATTTCTGGCCAAATAGCCGATTTACGCCTTTCTTCCTCAGCCAGAAACACTATGCACAGTACTTCTGGGAAACCAAACTGACTTCCTTTAAGTTATTTCAACAGGATAGAGCTTTCAAAAGTTTAATTGGATTTTTACAGAATCCTTTTCCAATACCACCAATTTAAAATATTTAGTTAAGCTCTTTTCAACATCAACAGTATTTTTAAGTTCTCGTGCTGTTAATGTGAAACTTTCCAAAGGCAGAAAGAAAAAAGTGACAAGTTTGTATGTACAGCACAGAAACAAGCTTCCACTTTCTCTCTCAAATAAAGTATTCATTTTCTCATTCAAATTTTAAATTACTAGGGCTATTTTGCTAAGAATCCCAAATCTTTTTTTTTTAATGTTTAAGTTAAACATCAGTATCCATACTGATCAAGTCAATCAGTATAGTGTATTAAATGTTAAGCAAAAACATTTCCAGTGAAAGAAAGGCGCAGGCACAAACATCATTGAGCACATACTCCGGAGTCAAGTACTTCTCTTTACTTCATTTAACCCTCACAGTAACTCCACGAGTTAGAAACGATATGATGAGCTCCACTTTAAGAACCCTAGCTGGACACTTACCTTTAATGTCCTACTTAAATCTTCCATTAGTAAACATTAATACCCTCTATATGAATGATTTAAGGAACACACAGACATTGTTCAAATTTATTTAAAGATTCCAAAGCCACTTGTGAAGGTCAGTTAAGGAACGGCTACAGCTTAATGGACTCAGAGTCGGCCTTGACCCAGACTGTTGAAGCACAGGGTCCTCAGTGGGGACCCACCTATCAGGACCTGTGGGGTACTGAAAACTGATCTGTGCTGGTGTTGACAATCCCCAAATATTATCTAATAATTATTCCCCTTTACCCCAGGTGAAGTGAATTTCAGTGGGTTAGGAAAATATATTTGTGAAGTATCGGAAAAATCTTTAGCGAGGAAACTAAAATTATCTCCTTTTTTCCCTGTGACAGACAGATAAAAAATGAGTTTTGGACCAAGCACAATAGAATGGGAGGTTTCTCTGCTCTGCTGAACATATTCAACAGATTCATACCAAGGCCTTTCCCTAGAATGTTCTACATAGATTCTTCTAACAAAAGAAAAATATCATAAATAAAAATATTTTTCTTATTTTATGTGACTTTTAAAAAGTTTATTACAGCAAATTTATACACTGGTTTCCTTTCTGAAGGCTAAAATCAATGACATCTGATAAAGGCTAAAAAGCATCAGAATTAAAGCCAATGTTTAGTAAATAAGAGTATAACCTGTACCAAATGACTTGCAAAATACAACAAATAAGATTTGGTCTCTGGCTTCAAAGAACTTAAAATCCATATCCTATTCTGAGACCCAAAGCAATGCAAACTGTTAAAGTGAAATGAATCATTTCAATAATTACTACTTATTTAAGAGTCTCGAAACTCAAAGAGAGCTCTTATTTCAGGAGGAAAATATTTTCATGCAATTCAATAATAATTAGATCCTCCCCATCATTAGACATTTATGGAATTTAGAGTCTGAAACAGTAATCTCAAAATTAAAGAAATTCATGAATATCAGAGATCTAAAAAAGAAGATAAAGTAGGAATATTTGTGCTCATTAATTAATATTTTTATGTATCAATACCAGCAATTTTCTATTTAAAATATCTTTTTATTAAAGCTCATTGTAATGTATTTTCTACACTTGGAACAGAAGGGCAGGCAGTTCATTTCAAAGATTAGTATTACTAGTATTTATAAAATGTACCTAATATTTACTAGTTATAGTATCCCTATCAATAATGTACCCATTTAAGCAAATGGATTACTTTAAAGGATATATTAAGTAAGAAAATCCCTGCTTTCTCCCTGTTAATCTACTTATATTCATCTCCTTCTTTAAAATCTGATTCACCTACCTCTTCAGAAAACCTGTGAACAGTCCAGGAGAGATCACTTCTCTGTACCTCCAGCATCACTTAAATTCCTTTTGAATAACTGATTTGCACTTGTACATATATTGCTGTACTAAGGCTTCAAATAGCTGTATTTTGCCTCCTTAACTGGCTTTGAAAGTTCCTCAATGACAGAGATGTCTTCTATTCCAACTGTAAACGCCACATTTCTCCTAATGCTTCTTTAG